GACGACACAGTCCAACCAGAACAGTTGTTATTTTGGGGGGAAAGAAGATGTGCTTGTCGTTTGTCATGCAGAGAACATCCTATGACCCTTCTTGCCCCCTCGGTGGTGACTGTGTCAGCTGCATGCTTCGCAGAGTGTTGTTTGTTTAAAGTGCTGAGGGATGGCCCAGCCAGTGTGGCTCAGTGGTTGAGCATCGACCTATGAACCAGGAGAGATCATGGTTCGATCCCCGGTCAGGGTACATGCCCGGTTTACAGAGACGGATAGCAGGATGGTGGGTGCCAGGGGCTGGGTGGGGAGGAATGGGGGTTATTGTTTAATAGGGATAGAGTTTCAGTTTTGCAAGATTTTCAAAAGTTCTGGAGATGATGGTGGTGATGGTTATACAACGTGAGTGTACTTAATGCCACTGAGTTTTCCTCTTTAAAAAAAAAAATGGTTAGAATGGTAACTTATTTATATTTTACCACAATTTTTTAAATGGTCAAAGCTACAATGTTCATATAGTCTGGGCATCAGATAATCCTTAGGTTGTGAAATTATATGTTTCAAAATTGGAAGACAGTGTTGCCACTGGCTCCCTGACATGAAACAAGGCCTTAATCCCATTTGTAAATTTTATCACCCAAGGCCTCCGGGGGCTGCCTTCTCCCTTCCTTCTCGATAGTTTCAAGATCACATAAAGTGGTTTTCTTAATAATTGCATCATGTTGAACGTCTTTAATTTATGCGCTACGTTTCTTAAGAGCTTGGTTGATTTAATTCATTTGGCTACCGGCGTAATCTTCATGGAGGAATGTCAGTTGCTTACAGGCATCCGTCTGCCACACAATATTTCAATATCATGTATCCCTGCCTTTTGGAATCAAAAAATACTTTCCGTAAACATTGACCATGAAGATCATGCTCATAAAACTTGTTCCCATGAATGTTGTTCTAAAATTGGAAAAGGGGTGAGAGTAATTAATTAGTATGTAACAGACAGCTCTCATTTTATCATTTATTTGCCAGAGCCAGTGCCAGGAAAGGGTGATGGGTGACAAATGAATCACCCGCATGAGGCAGGGACTGTGTCCATTCTATCCACTCGGTTAGTGTCACGTTGTACATGGGAGGGTTTTGAGAAAGAGCTAATAGCTAATTGAACAAAGGGAGCTCTTGTCCATTGGGAGGAACAGACAGGTGAGTAAGTCCAGTGGGGCTTCATGGAACCCGTGTCGTTATCATGGGAGAAAATGCCCAGCCTGGTCTCCGTGAGGGGAGGAGCCAACCGCAGAGGAAGGATGTGGAATTTTTTTTCCCAGCAGCAGCAGCAGGGAGCAGTAATCAGCTTTGCATGTTAGGATGATCCCTCAGGGGCTGGGCATGGAAATCGGATGGCATTTGGGAGCTCAGTGAGAGGCGGCCTGAAATGATGCGGGTCTGGTGGCAGCTGAAGGGGGAAGGAGCGGCCTGGTGTTCGCAAGTAAAGAGCCATTCGAGAGGTTGCGTGGAAGGGACCTGGAAGGTAGTGACTGACTAGTTGCAGGGGAAAGAGCAGAATCAGAGGAGGGCTCCAGAGGCCTTGCCTTGGGAGCTAGACAGATGTCATTGCATTTCCTGGGATAAGGAGCGGGCTGTGCACATGTGCATGTGCATGTGTGTTGCATGGGTTGGTGTGTTATACATTTATGTGTATGCATGTGTGTGCGCATGTGTTTATGTGTGCCTGTGTGTGCATGTGTTTATGTGTGCCTGTGTGTGTGCATGTGTTTATGTGTGCATGTGTGTGTGCATGTGTTTATGTGTGCCTGTGTGTGCATGTGTTTATGTGTGCATGTGTGTGTGCATGTGTGTGTGCATGTGTTTATGTGTGCCTGTGTGTGTGCATGTGTTTATGTGNCGCATGTGTTTATGTGTGCCTGTGTGTGCATGTGTTTATGTGTGCCTGTGTGTGTGCATGTGTTTATGTGTGCATGTGTGTATGCATGTGTTTATGTGTGCCTGTGTGTATCGAACATGTGTGGAGTGCGTGTGTGTATTGTACATGTGTGGGGGTGCATATGCGTGTGCGTGTACATATGTGTGTGGACGCTTCCATGTGTGTACTTGTGTGTGTGCATGTGAGCTTGAGCGTGTGTGTGTGGCTGTACGTATGTGTAGGGGGTGATGATGCACTAAGGTGTCTGTGGGACATCCAAGCAGAAGTGTCCAAAGAGCAAACACCACGGGCCAGGTATTTATTTCTCATGGGCCTGGAGGCTGGAAGTCCAAGCCCAAGGTGCTGGCAGGCTCGGTTTCTGCTGAGGCCGCTCTCCTGGGCCACAGGCGGCCATCTCTCCCCGTGTCCCCACCCATCCCCGGTGTCCCTTCCGCCTCTTACTAGGATGCCAGTCTTGTTGGCTTAGGGCCCCCCTCATGACCTCATTTAACCTCAGTAACTTCTTTACTCCAAATATAGTCCCGTTGGGGGTTCAGGCTTCAACATATAAATTTGGGGGAAGGATCCAATTCAGCCCATAATAGATTATAAATTATTATTGTCATCTTAAGTTTTGGGGTGATTTGTGATGTATCAAAAAATAACTAACACTTGCCCTGGCTGTTGTGGCTCAGTTGTTGGAGCATCGCCCCCTATACGCCAAAAGGTGGTGGTTTCAATTCCCAGTCGGTCAGGGCACACGCCCAGGTTGCGGGCTCGACCCCCCGTAGGGAGCATGCGGGGGGCAGCCGATCGATGACGTTTCTCTCTCGTCATCAGATGTTTCTATTTTTCTCTTCCTCTCCCTTCCTCTCTCTCTCAAAACCAATAAAAACATATATTTTTTAAAACCTATAAAAAATAATAATAGTAACTAACACTTGTTTCATCACATGTGGGGAGGTAACGTAACTCGGTAAATTCATGAACTTTGGTTTTTCCTTAAACCTGACTCCGCCTCCGAGACTCCGAGGCTTCCTCGTATGACGATTTGGAAGGAAATCACTAATCAATCTTTCCAGATTGTTATTAGGAATAATTTTTACCTTTTTATAAACACAGGAAAGCACTTTAAACGTCGAAACGTATTTCAGGCTGCTTGACGTGAAGGAGCAGCTGACGATCTCACACGCACGACTGTGTTTTTGTGTTTCCATCTCGGCGTCTTAAACATCAAGTCACAACCTAATAAGGTCTCGACGCTCACACCGTCTGCCCAGAAATGGCAAAGTAACAGTCCCATACCCTGTTCCTCGCCGCAGATTAGATATTTTAAAAATAGTTTGGGGGGTGAGATTCGCATTGGGCCCGGGAGTGGGAGCGGCGGGGCTTGGTTATCGCGACAGCCGGGCGCAGACAAGTGCTGCCCGCGTGTGGAGGAGGCGGGCGGAGGGGCTCCGCGCTCCTCG